CACATAGGCAGAGTATCAAATTCCAGTAACTTCACTGGTGTGCACTGAACGCCTCCCAGTCACAGGACCATTGTGTGGACAATGGGGTCTCTGGTAGAGAAGAACGGCACTATTCTTAAGTTTAGATCTACTACTACATAACAAGATATTATGTTCTAGAAAGGCAAGTATTCAGCACACGGCCTAAAAACCAGAAAGAAATGTGGTAAACCTATTCCTCAATAGAATTAAGAGGAGAGTATTTATCATGGAAGGCTGAAGTTACTGGAATTTTGTATTTTAGCTGCTCTTAAAGCAGTCTACACATATTAGGGAAGCATTCTGCCTTTTTAATTAAATACAGTCAACTACAAATAACAAAGAACTGTCCAAAATGTATTTAGAAAGTGTTTATGGATACCAGTGTCGAACTGTGAACCACTTACCCAATAGAAGAGAGATTCCTAACTGTGTCAAGATGGCTTGCACATCAATTGAAATGGAAAAGCAATGAAGATACTCACCTACACAAAACTCAGGGTCTACTGACCATGTTGAATTTGCAAGACATGTTACATAAGGAGACTTTCCAGAGCCCAACATGTATCCTGGGCGACAGGAGTATTTCAGTTTGGTTCCAACAGGATAGGAATTGTTCACTGGCCCAGACAGCTCAGCAAAACTCAATCTTGGAGGAGACTCGCAAATGCCTAGCAATAGGGACAGACAAGGAAGGGGAAAAGTTAACTATGAAGGATATTCAGTAGTCTGTTGTAACAGAATACTCCTTTTTGAGACGCCACAAATGATTTTACTGGGGACAATTTGGATGTACTTGTTTTCTTTACAGCCTTGAAGCTTGTTTACTGAATGGGCTTGATACAAAACTGCTGTACATTCAAATTTTACAATCATTTACCATGTATCCCTCACCCTGAGCATGTCTGGTAATGTAAGGTAAATACATTGTGCAAAACAGGACATTCCTCCACCTCACAGGACTTATGATCTAACGCAGCACAGCCTCCGAGACACTGTTGCAACCATACCGAGTGACATGAAAGGTGACGTACAGGGCAAAGGAGACCAATGGAGCAATCTATAGAAGAGTACATGAAACATGTCTGGCATTAGAAACAAGTGAAAAGAGCTGGTGGAAAGCTCTCAGACAGCTGACTTTCATATTTCTCATGCGATGCATGGAACCTGTATGACCGGCATGAGGACAAGTGCCAATGAGAAGCAAAGTTGGGAAAGTAACTGAAATACTTCCTGATGTTTCTGTTGGTGCTAACCCTCTCACTGTGGAACTTGCTGACAGGCCAAAAAAGTCTAACTTGGATCACAAACGAATTAGTTATGTTCATGGAGGATAGTTCCATCAAAGGCTATTAGCCAAGATGCTTAAGGATGCAACCCCATGCTCCGGGTGTCAGAACACCTGCCAGCAGCGGAGACTAGGCAACAGGGAATCAATTTCTTGATAATTGCCTTGTTCTGTTCATTCCCTCTGAATCAACCCATGGTGGCCACTGTCAAAAAACAGAATACTAGATGGACCATTGGTGTGACCCAGTATGGCCATTCTTAT